GCAGCAGCTGCAGCTGTTCCGAGGCCACTGTGGAGCAGATCCCCCACAGCTGGCGCTGGAAACAATGGCCCACTCGTCCTTGCTGTGCTTTTGAATAGCTGTTCCGCCCTTTTGATCCCGGAGAGCAGGTGTGCACCTCCAGCCCTCTGCCTGGGCCCGCCTTCCGCAATTATTTTCCCTGCTCTTTGCACGTGTTCGCCTAAGAGCGGGACAATGGGGCAAGGGGCAGGTCTGATAACACCCTGCTTGTTCTTCTGGATGTACTTAGACCAAGACACTGATTTACCTGACTGGAGTTCTTGGGCGAGTCACTTCGCCTCTGTAGGCTCGAGGTTAATTTTGTGCGGATGAGCTGTGTGGGAGGATTTTCTTCCTGCCTAAATCCTCTGAAGACAATGACCAAGTCAACCTCATTTTCGGCCAGTGTGAGAAGGAGACAGGTTTCCACAGTGGCCCCCGGGCACATGGGGTACGCTGAGGAGTTACTACAAAGTGACCCGGTTTCCTGGGGATTTTTTATTTTTAAGTTTCCCCACTCTTGCTATACTTGGAAGAATCCAGGAGGAAAGAAATTACAAGCATAAGGTACTCTTGGCAAATGTTTTAGTGCAAAAAGTCGGGCTCAGAGGTCGTGTCCTATGTTAGGACATTAGGATGTCACTCTAAAAATCTCTCATTGGACTTTTTTTTGGGGGGGGGGTACCGGGAATCGAACTCAGGACCTTACACTTCCCAGACAGGCAGTTAGGCCACTGGGTTATATCCCCACCCCTTCTCATTGGATCTTTAAGGCTGGCCTATGTAAGGACTTAGTTTTTGTCATAAATATCCATTTTCTTCACACTAGGAATGTTCCACATATTGAAAATGAATATATGTCAATATATTGCATTTACATATAAACATCTCTACATGTGAATATATGTGTGCGTATATATTCACGTTCTGAGTGTGCTGCAAATGATTTTACTACTATAGTTATGTTTCACTAACTATAAGTATACAAGTTATACATACATCATTCCATAAATATTAAGCATTTACTATATTCTAATATTTAACTGACTGCTGAAAATACAAAATGAAAAAGTCAAGAAGCTTGCCATTTGTTATCCATACTGTTAGGCCAGGTGTACTGAAGAACTCTATAGGATAAGGAAAAAATTTGGTCACTTTCAACGAAGAGCATCTTACAGACACAGATTTTTATTAGTGACAGTTTCAGCTGATAAAAGTCTATTTCTCCAAACTAGATCTTGCCATTTATAATCAACAAGCTAATAATTTTTTAAAAACCATAACAACAGCACCCACAGACTGCAAAATTGACTGCTCATCATATTTTCTATGTGAAGCCTCAGTTCTACACATTAAGAATAATTTATGCCAGGGCAGAGTTTTTTCCCTCTAACTTCACACTCCAACGAAGATTTCCACGGAGCAAGTGTTCAGCTCTGGCTCTGGGCGGTCAGAAGCAAGGGCTGGAAGCACCGCCCCCTGCCAGAGGCCGCTTCACCCTGCCTTACGTAACTCTTGTGGATGATCAGAATCCCAGCGTTAGCACAACTGCAGAGCAACAGATCGGTTCTGAGCCTGCCCTCAGAACTCTTTCCTAAGAAGCACCTCAGCTATGCACAAAGCTGTTTCTCGGCCCCCGGGAAAGGAGCCCCTTTTCCTATCAGAATGGTGATAAAAACCAAGGACGCGGTAGAGTACACTTCCAGGGAGAAAGCCTCAACACTGAGGGCTGAGGACTCACCACTGACTTCACCGTTACCTCTCACCTCCTTTCACTGTCTTCCTGGATGTTTTCCCCAGTTCTTGTCTGTAAGTGTTACGGTCGCTCTTCTTGGAGATCTGTGAGATGCGTTATACAGCAGGCAAGTTGGGAAAGAGATTGAAGAGTGAGGAGAAACCGCCAGGGCCCGACTTCTCACCGGTGAAACCTTATGGCCACTCAAATGGCATCATCTGTAAGGAAAGGGAAGTATTAGAAAACGACAGCTGTACGCAGGGCAGTCTTCGACATGTTTTAGGATGGAACAGATTTTGCCCTTGTGAAGATTTTTTTCCCTTTATTTTGGAGTAAGGAAATTTGACAGTATGATAAACAAATACAGAGATACACACAGGAAATGTATTGTGAAATTGTGCCTGTCATGCAGCCTGCCCAGGAGTTGCTCAGTTCACAGAGGATTTTACTGTCTATCATATCATGTGACCTGAAGGTTAGACTGGGTAAAAGGGGAGTTTTGTCAGTGTTGTCGAGTGAGATCATTGTTGACTCAGAAGGTGCTTAAGAGAGCAACAAACATCACGCAGCCAGTGAGATGACAGAATCACGACTTGAACTCCTGTCATCGGACTCTGTACGCTCTGCTTTTTTTTCCATCCCAGTGCCTGTTCCAGTAATTGATCTTTGAAATACAGTGTCGCTCTTACACATGCACGATAGTTCACTGATCTGTGGAGCGGTCCAGGAGCCATAAACATAAGCCCTCGAGGACTGCTGGATTCAGCAATGGTTTCATCCAGACTTGTGAAAATTCTTCCTAAGAATGGCGCTTTATTGATAATTAAATGCTGCCAGAAGTTTTAAAACATCTCATCATATAGAAAATCTTTTCCCAATAAATATAAATAAGCTCCATCAAAACCTGCCTGAGAGTTTAGTAATAAATATTGTATCTTCCTTACAAGCATTCAGAAGGTTTTGGTGTTATTTCAGCATGCCTGTATCATAGTTCTAGTTTGAGGGTGAAGTTATTTTGATCAATTACTCTGGAAGAAGTTGGAAATACATAAGATAGGGATGAGTATCACTAAAGACCTGGACGTTGAAATTAAAAGGCTCCCGAATGCATCATCCCAAGTCCGCCTTCCTAGACAATTTCCATTCAGAAAATCAAAGTACAGTTTGGAATGGAAAGTGTGCTGCCTACAGTACCACATTGTGAATTCCATCGAGTTCTATGTTATCTAGTGACGATTTGCCAATCTTCGGATACTGAAACGCCAGTATGAAAATTGGCTCAAAAATACTGTTCCGTATTTTGGGCCATGGTGTATACAACAGCAGAGAAATCAGAAGCATAAGAAATATCAAGTTAGTTATTTATCTCTTCTTACCATTAAAGTAGTCGAGTACAATACCTCACCTGGTTACTCATCTTCTATTTTAACAGTTTTCTCAGCAACAACTAGAATTAGACACACAAATGCACATTTATGATGAACAAATGTGTAAATGATAGCAGAATGCAAATCAATGCTTAAAATTTTTTGAAAATGGCAAATTTACATTTGATTTTTATCGACACTTTCTCTGGTTGACCTGTTGCCTTTTCCCCATTTTAAGTGGCTTGCTTGCTTGCTTTTGTAAGGGAAAGAAGAAAAAAAAAATCATTTAAAATTCTCTAAAACAAGTTAATAATTCCGTTAAATTAACTTCGCAGTTGCTTTGTGCATGCTGTAGTGTAGGTTAGGAGATTTTTATCATTCAGATACCTTTAGGTAGAAGCTTGAAAATGGAAGGCATCTTCCTTGATGAGTTCCGGAAAGATAGCTGGAAAGATAATATGAGAATCTTATTTGGGCAGAGAAAGATTACAAACTACCATCTCAGCAGGTTCCTGATGTCTTGTGGAGATCAGATCCAAGCTTTGATACAGACATAGCTGAGGAGATAACTAGCAGAAATGTGCCTTGTGCAAGAAATTAAAAGTGCTGGTAATTATGCAAAATAAGGTCTTAATACTGGGGATAAAGACATCAAGGGAATGAGGAAATGGAATTCCTAACAGTGGCTTCTCTTGTCTTTTTGCCCATAAAATGTTAATAAATTTACTTAATCTAGTAAATAAGTCTTGTTGAAACATATTTCCATAATCAGTGGCTCACAGATTGGCCGTGGAGGAGACACAGGCAGTAATGTCATTCTGACGGAAAGTCATAATTTAGAAGACTTACACATAACGTGAAAACAGTGACACTTCTCAAAATTGATGAGCTTCTCCCTGTGTCTAGGAATGCAGTTTGGAACATGTGGTCCACACGCAAAGAGCTATTTCTGACAAAAAAATTTATCTTCCCTTCAGGGTACACAAGCAAGTCATACTACCAAGTCAAGGAGATTGTGTACCAGGTGGGAATCTTTGAATTGAAGAAGCTGATTTCTGTGATAACCTAAAAATGTATATTCACCTTCTATTGTAGCGGTGTCGTGTACGTTCTGTTGTATGGATGAGTCAGTCGAAATTGAGTTAAAACACTACTTCTTAAACTGGGATTCTGGCAGATGTCTCTAAGGCCCTGACTTTGTCTTCCTTTCAAAGCTATTCTTTCCCTACTCAAACGGCAGCCGTTTGGTTTGGTTTAGTTTGGCTTGAAATCTTCAATTTCAGGGAAGTCTAGAGTAGGTCAGGGTACAAACTAATAGGGCTCTACTTTTATTTATTTATTTATTTATTTATTGGTCTTTTTGAGACAGGGTCTCGCTATGCAGTTCAGGCTGCCCTTGAGCTCACTTTGTAACCCAGGCTGGTCTCGAACTCACAACGATCCTCCTGCCTCAGCCTCCCGAGTGCTGGGATTACAGGCGTGCACCACCATGCCCAGCTAATAGGGCTCCACTGATTGCCAGGATCACGCTTCTGTGGAGATTTTCAGCTTATCTCCCAGGGCAGAAGGGCCTGGCTAGCTCTCAGAGGCCGTCACACCGATCTTCACTGACCAGTGTGTGGCATTAGGGGAGTCCTGCTACCTCGCTGGGAACTGGGCTTTCCTATAACAAGGGGTAGAAGCATCTCTATTAAGGCAGTGTAAAAATTCAATAAAATATTATAACAAAACCGCTATTATGTAAGCTTTTTAAAATAGTAAGGAAAGGGCAGTATAGGGCATTATTTAATGACAGGGCTCTTCTTTAGATCATAGGCAAGTAGGTCTAGATGGTCAGTGTGCTTTAGGATTAATGAGTCTAGGCTCCTCTCCTCCCAGACCGACTGCTGCAGCACCCTTCGGTCCTAAGATCGTTGGACCAAGTTTCTATGCAAAACCAAAAAAGAAATACGTGCAACCTTTCCCAGAAGAAGTACAGCTGGAAATTTTGATCTTAGCATTTACTATACACATCCAGTGTCCTAAGCATGCTGTTGATTATATAGTAGCAAATATTAAATTGTAGAACTTCATGTCTTGTAGTTCAATAGGTCTAAGGAATGGAGATGATTGTCTCTTTACTTGTAGTGAGTCTTTACCATATATAATTCTGTTAGTTAAATATTGTGTACTTTATTATCCTGTTGGAACTTTAAAGTCTCAGTTCTAGAATATGTTGGCTTTCATGCTGACACCCAGAATTAAATATAGCTATCTGCTCTTTTTCTGGAATTTCAAAATGTGAAGCATGTTATACCATATCCTTTTTTGCTGTAAGCCCTCCGAAGAAGAATAAGTGCTCAATACAGACCCTGGTTTTGGGAATACCCAAGATGTGAATGATCGTACCCCAAACTACCTTTATCTCAACAGTCTCCCCCTTTCATTTCGCTGTTGTCACTGAGATCTCCTTGACCTTGTCCTGCCACTCAAGAGCTGCTTGCGGAGAGGACTCCCAGACCGGTTACTTGAACGCTCAGAGCTCAGCAGGGAAGCTCACTAGTGTTCATGTGGCAGGAGTTTCAAGAGCTTTCCATTTTTGTTCCTTAAGAGGTTGCCTAGGATAAAATTGGAGCCTTAGGTAACTTGCTAGAAAGAACAAGAAGCTGGGAATCCTCACATCATCTTTTGTTTATTTGAACATTTTTCAAATTACTGTTCTAACAGGACCTTAATTATCCTGTTTTCCTGCAGTGATACTTGTTGTCTAGCACTGTTTTGACTTTCCAGATGTGCACTGTTTATAAACCAAGTTTATAGAATTCACAAAGGAAAACAAGGCCATTTTCAGACATATTTCATCAGTCTTGATCTTAGACTTCAAAATAAAATAATAATTTTTTTTTTTGTCTCTTTGAGGCAGGGTCTTGCTATGCATTTCAGGCTGGCCTTGAGATCACTTTGTAGCCCAGGCTGGTCTCGAACTCACCACAGTCCTCCTGCCTCAGCCTCCTGAGTGCTGGGATTACAGGTGTGCGCCACCATGGCAATAATTCATTTACAAAGGGGCAAAATTTTGTACTGGATTTTACATAGGGTTCTGTCTTATGTTCACTTTACAAATAAAGAAACTGGCTGATGGAGGTTAGGCTACTTGACAAAGTCAGGAAAAGAGGAAGACAGGATTGCCAGGCATTCACTCGGAAGTGAGCCCCTGTGAGCCTGGCTGCAGGCTGGATCCAAATTGCTCCCAAACCCCTCCCCCATCGTCTTATGCAGTGTGATGTGCACATTTATGGTGAAGGGACGTTTCTACAGTAATTTCACCACATCTCTGTTCAATATATCTTTTTGTGTTCTTCTAAAAATATTATTTCTTCCTTAAAAGTTAAGTACCTGCTTTCTCATTGTAAAGCTTCAAAAATAAAGACAATGCAATAAAGAGCAAAACAAAAGTTCCGCTTCACCTGGCGCTGTACTTCGCAGCTGACACTGTTCCCCAAAGGAAACTGCTGCCTCGTTTTGGGGTGAACCCTCTCACGGCTCATTCCGTGCCTTTGCTTGCATATCTGTGCACACACACAGCTCCATAGCGCTGGGGTGTTTGGATTTCATTTTCTCCATTCTATATAAATTTACTAAATTATCTGGCGTTTTTGAATGATTGCAATATGCCAGAAAGTGTTCTAAACAAAGTAAAATTGTTGGTATATTAATATCCACCTCAGTAAACTCATAAAAAATTTAAAACTAACATCCCAAACTGAGCTCAGTCTGTTACATCGGGGTTATCACCAGTGAAGACTATCCTTGTAAGTGTCCCTGGTGTTTCGGCAAAAGACGTTTACAAGTAACTGGACTTCTACACTAACTGCTTGTTTTTCTGCCCACCAAACAAAGCTTGAAAACAAAATTGGAAGGAAGTAGCTCCTTAATGCTATAGTTTGTCTTTCAAGATTACTCTATTGAGAAACTCACCTGGAATTCCCTCGCTGAGTATTTAATCATAAAATAATTTTCTCATGATGTGAAGCTTCTTTTAGTTTTTCTTGCTAATTTCTTAAAAAGTTGAATTATCATTAAAATGATGCCAACTCTTGCTAAAACGTGCAAACTGTATAAAGTGATCTTTTATGAGAAATAAAAGTTTCCCTAGTGATAACTACTGAATAGATGCGAACGTATCTGGTTTTTCCTATTGTTTTAGCTTTACAGTCATTATACATCTATAGATTAAAGAGAGAGTCTTAGGAGCTCATGTTTCAGCTATTTTTCTAGGTTCAACAAATTATCTTCCATTGATTCTTTTGTTTTTATTATGTATTATATATACACACATGCTGCTTCTGAGCACAGCTTAGTGGTTTAACTTTGGGTTGATTATTGGTGAAAGGAAAGAAGTAAGGGAGGGAAGAAGGAAAGAAGGAAAAAAGGAAGAAAAGGGAGGGAAGGAGGAAGGAAGGGAAGGAGAGAGAGAGAGAGAGGGAGAGACAAAAACAGCATTTGGTCTCTTTTTTCTTGTAAACTTTGCAGCTGATAAGCCAGAGCCAGCATACAGAAATCTCTAGAATGCCTTCTACTGGAAAAGACGAGATGAGTGCCTTCCCCATGTTTTCCCTTCTTTTACTTCTGTTTCGTAGCAAGGCTGTGGCAGTATGTAAAATAACTTGTTTTCCTGCACACACTCATCTGAGGCACTAAATCTAGTACTGAGCATCTCCGCACAGAAGTAGCCTCTGGCATAACTAGTGTCCAAGTAAGAACTGACCACTTCGACCCTGGGACGGTCTCTCTGCAGAATGAGTTAATAACCAATAGAGCCTTCAAGATTTTAGTCATCGCGGCTGAACCAAGCCATGGATAGATTTACTGGAAGAAGGTAAGAGAGTGGAAAAGTATTCTCAAATATTTGTGAAAGATGCTATCATTCCTTCTTAGCATGACCACCTTCTGCTTCCTACCTGAAGAAATTTGAATATAACTGAATAGGACTCAGGTAAACGCTCCTATAGGTTTTTAGAGAGAAAATTAATCCTTGCCAACGTCAGAAAAGTATAAATAAATCACAGATAAAGCCCTTTGATAAGATTAGACAGCAAACATGGATGAGTCAGAAACCATATTCTAGTTTTCTGCCATTTCATTTAACAGTTTATAAAATTTTATTGCAAAAAATAATGCATAGGAGCCACCAGGTATAACTGAATTTTATCGTTTAGATCAGTAGTTTTAGTCATACCATAAACTGAATGAGTAATCGGCAGACTAAACGCTAAACACTGATGGAATCTTTCTACAATTAAAGTATATTGCTGCGTCTAAGATACATAGACGACTGCAGGGCTGACGCCTTCTACAGAATAGAAGTCTGACAAGTCTTCCCTTTCCTGTTATATCAGATGTTAGCTTCTACTTTCCATCGTGGTTGGTAATATTGCCCAGTCTTCTTTTTTATTTTTCCTGTCTTTTTGAGACAGGGTCTCGCTATGCAGTTCAGGCTTGCTTTGAGCCCAGTTTGTAGCGCAGGCTGGTTTCGAACTTCCAGCAATCCTCCTGCCTCAGCCTCCCGAGTGCTGGGATTACAAGTGTGCACCCGGCATTGCCCACTCATTTTCTCGTACAATATAATCACCTTGAGGGCGGCAGCTATGGCTCTTCAATACTGGTGTTTTCATAATGCCTGGCCATATATTTGGGGACTTAGTGTATGTATAATGTGTGAACTAAAATACACTGCAGTCCTGCCTCCAGTTTTTGTGTTTGGAAAGCACTACCAACATTTCTCTTTCTGGAGTGAGGCAGAGAACTCAAGGCTTCTTTGCCTCCCAACATCCAAGCCCTGGCAGTTGGAACTTGGATTCCTGGGTGCAGAAACTCTCACACACCTTCTGCTGTCTGTCACTGTGCCAGTTGACTTCAGACATAAAATAACATTTGTGCTTGCTTAGAAGTGGCATAAGGAGAACTCCTTTTTGGGTGCAGGACCTTCTCTGTCTTGCCAGTCTTAGGGACCACTGTGCCCAGGGGTGTTAGCGGAGCACGGAA